CCACCACCACCACCACCACCACCACCACCACCACCACCACCACCACCACCACCACCACCACCACATCACCACAGGTTTTGAAATCTGGAGATATCAGTCAGTTAAACCACCTCCATCAACGGCTTTTAGAGTGACTTTGAATGTGCGCATGACATGGCAAATAGCGACGAGGTGAAGTCAGAAAACGCACTGATGGGATCTGGTTTCGTGTCCCTCAAGGCCAATGAAGACGGTCTGCAAACGGACGACGAGTGCCTGCTGCCATCACTACCAACAGTGGAGCAGATGCAGAGAGATGTCGCCAACGCCACATGTGAACTTCAACGACCGTTCTTTCAGCCCGTGGACAAATGCCCAGAATCTGGTGAAGCGCCTGCTCAACAAAATGTAAGCCCTGGACCGAAATTTATGCAAAAACAGCCAGAATCTTGGAATTGCAAATATACTTTATTGTACTTCCTGTTTCGAAATGGCCTAAATCTCTTCTTAGAGCTGTAATCATCCAATTAGCTGCGTGAGGCTTGTAACGCTCAAACGTTCGCAAACATCGGGAAATTGATTTATTAATTAATTATTCGAACTTCTCATAATGCCTAGAACATTTTTCATACCGCCGCAATCCTGTTTGCATCCTACAGCGTCTCCTTAACGCAAAAGTTTAATGGGTTTAACCAGCCACATCGTCTAAGCAGACAATAATGCCACAGACTTGCTCGATGAAAGATAATTTACTGTTTTATCCACAATTATGCAGACCAGTAAACAAGCTGCTGAAATCCCTGACCTATTAACTAGGAATGAACGAAAAAGACGGTTCACTTAGTACAAAATATTTCTTTTTTAAAAAACTTTAAATTAAACCGGTTCAAAGTATCATTCGCCTTGGGTTTCGGTTCATGCTGCAACCGGGGTGGGTCAAATGTAATCGGGCAGAAAATAATAAATATTTTGATATTCAGGTCGTTCATTATTAATCAAGTCGACATGAAAAGAAATTCATAAACAGCGCTGTTGAAGTGCGTGCTCAATATGCGACTGCTTCCATCATAAAATTCAGATGGCCGTGAAGGAAATAGGAGCTCACGTTTTCTTATAATCTTTACGATGAGGTGTCGAATATTCCTTCATTCTTCAAGCGTAAGAAAAGCTGATCAAACTTTTAGAGTTGCAAGATCAGGCGAGCGAGGAGTCCAAGCTTTTCAACCACTGCAGCAGCCGTGGAGATATTGTCCAAGGTTGGAGCTGGGAAACAATTCTACTGATGATTGTGGCATGTAAATTGTGCTGTAAACTCTCAAGGACCACGCGCAAATACAGCTTCAACAGTCTCATTTAATTAAAGGTTTGCAAACAGAATAACTTTGTGTGAATCTGCTAAACCAGAAGGCCGCATCAGGCCGGCTCTAGCCTCTCTAGCAAAGGTTCAACTGAATGCTCCATGAAATTTGCGATATTTAGCGTAATCGATTTTGGCTGGCAACGGTTTTCCATTGACTACGCGTCCTCTCACTGACTGCCGTTCTGCCACTCGCCACCTCGTTATCCCTCCGATTCGCGTGCACACCAGTACACATTTCGGACAAGGAAATCAGGTAAACTGACGCCGGCATGATGTGTCCACTTCGACAGACTCGACTGCCAACAGACACCCACTTGGCAATCGACAGTTCACTCGTCAAAATAACAGCCCGTGAACTTACAAAAGTGGACGCATTGACTGCTTTTTTGCTTCTAACTCGTCCGGTGTTGACGTCTATGCGAATACTCGCAACACAAATCTCCCAGGTGGTCAAAAACGTTGAAATTCAAGACTCGGTGATTTGTGCAGGCGCATGCAATGGAGCAGCATGCCAGATCAACGTAAAACTGGCTTCAATTGTACCCAGAACCTGACCTCTTACACTTATAAACTAAATCCACTTTAAAATTTTAGCTGTTCCTCGCATGAGTTACTCCACATTTTATCTCGCTTAAATTTTGCTTAACATACTCTAGTTGGGGATTTCTGCTTAAGCAGGCGTTGTTGTTATCAATGTTTGGACTGCTTAAATTTAGCCACTATGACATCAAACTCAATTACTTTTATTGTGCACACCGAGGGACGCAATTAGCGAAGTCCCCGATTGTAGATGAGTTAATTTGGACTGCATTGCAAAGAGTAGAGCCAACTACACGTGACTTGATGACGGAATTGTCTATTCTCTCTCCAGGGATTTGTGGCATCCGAAGAGGCCTTTCGTTGGAATTGATCTTAATTTTTCTCAACGATTTTGTTTTTATGCCTGAAGAATCAACACTTAAGAATGTTATCAAGGCACGTTTCGGGGTACATGAATTCAATTGGACAAAGTGCTTTTACTGTTTCCCCTCTACAGACCATATCTGCAATTAAATATTGCGCGCCGTTCTTGCTTTTATCAAAGATGAACGATCATGCTTTATTGGCCGCTTCAAGGTCAAATCGGGTTGTCAATAACTAGAGAGACATATTTACAGCCTGAATCGGATTCCTTCATGACAGTTTCATTCTTCTTCTGATGAGATGAAATGCGCCGATTAATTGTAACCAAAAAGTTTGCGATTTACTTCAACAAAATTGCCAGCTGTTCAAATGATGCTATCGGTGTTCTAATATTAATCAAGGTCGCCATGCTGCAACGGAATGTACCCCTGATATTTCTGAATTTGTGCCACAAGAGTTTCCGTCCCAGGTCACGGATACAGTATGAACCAATGGGAGAAGATTAAAGAAGTGGGAATTTTTTGGTGCCAACAAAATGAGAAATGCAGACGGAAGTTAGCTCCCGGCAAAACAGTCCATTGAAAAACAGGAAATGTTGATTGTTGATGCGGTGTTTCCTGTTCAATTGCATGGACAATCCACGATGCGCTCGTTCTGATTGAACCTCTTGTGAGTCCACTTGAAGAATAAATGGGCCAACTTTTGATCCAATTAGAGCTAATTAACAAGGCGGACCTGATTCGCTGCCCTAGGATTCCCTACAAAAGGCAGCAACTTCGATCAATCGTGTATTGGTATACCCAGTCCCTCCAATTATTTGAAGTTGTCATCCATCTGGACTGGTTTTTTGATTGACTATCCCACGTGTTAGAAGTTGCAGTCGGTAGTGGACATAACATCCATGCTTGTTGCCCTACTCTGACATCAAGATGGGAGTAAATGATGAATCGGCCTGCTCCAGTTGGTAATTATTTTGCCAAATTAAATCATCCAAGTTTCCCAGTTTGTTGAAACGAATCAGAGACTATAAAGACACGTCCCTTTACTCACTTGCATGTCGAAATGTGTCAACAGGTGATGGATGTGGAACTCGAACCAACTTGTCGATCCGCCTCTGTTGAAGCTCGGATGGAGACTAGATCGTCTGATGGACTACCAATCACCGTGAGCTAGAGAGAGCTAGCTTCTGTGGCTTGTTAATAAACACCGAGTCAAGTTCGTGTTCTACTTGAGTTAACAAGATTTACTAAAACGGAATCATCGATTCAGTTCGCAGTTGAGTTCCGCCAAAATGCACGTGGCATTGTTATGTCAGAGAAGGTGCTTTGTATAACTTAAAGCGACAACATCACGCGCTTTTATTGCCTTTACAGTTAACGAGTGACGCAGGGAGTGATGCTCAAGGTCACTGCTCCTGGGAGAACTCACACCAAGGAGCTGAACGCCACCCATAGGTCATGTGCGCGTGGATGCGGATAAACAGATTACGTGTGTGGTTGAGGGTCGTCTTTTAAGCATCACGGAATCCTGTTCCACGGCACACTAAACTAGAATTTATTGATTTTTTTGGGAAAGATTCATTGGTTTGTTAAAATTAAGGATAAAAAATGAGACTATAGGAGGCTTGTCAGCCAGACAACCACTTAATTTGTCACCTTTCCCAGCATTCCCCCATGTGTACGCTCATTATGCGCACAACAAACCCTGAGTACACTTGCACTTCCTAAATGTTGGAATAAACAGCTGTTTCTACGCCTTTTCGCCGCCTCTTCAACAATGCTTAGGATCGGGGTTTACTTCGAGTGAGGTTTGACTCATGTCAAAGGATTGATATTACACACAACCCAGACTGTGGCATTATTCACATGAATAAATCTCGCTTTTTTCTAGACATAAGTGGTAGTTCTGCATCGTCAACGTTGACCATCAGTTAGCACCATTGCTCTATCACAAACCCTGCAATCCTTTCCAGTCTTTGTGTTGAAGAAAACCAAACAAATCGATGCAGTAGTTTTAGTCAATGTGGCGTCTGTGAAAGCACAGAGGTGTCGATGTAAGAACTTGCAGGTGGTGTAGAATGACCAATTAGATTTTTTCATTTACAAGTTAACTGTCCTGTAATCCCCTGAGATTAAATAATCCGGGCTGTTAAGGAATTCTTCTTTGGGTGGATATCAATCGACGTCATCTTCAGAATTATAGACCTTTTCAATAAAGTCGTCCAACATATTTCTTTGTCCTTTTCAGTCCACAAAGGACAGTCTTTGGCCAGACCAAAAGGTTCCAACGACAGAGGATGCAATTGACGGCTCTGGAACATCGAAAGAAGATCCCCTTCATCGTACCAGGGAGGAGACAGTGTCTGAGGAGTTGATCATCAATGGAAAGCGATATCGACATACTTATCAAAAGCGGACCGTCCTCGAACGCCAGAAAACACGGGAAGTAAGTCTACTTTTGCTGTCTATTTGACGAGCATGCTGAGCTGAGATCGCAACCAGCATTTTAAGGTACCAATCAATGGTGCCTTGCATTGCCCCAGATCGATCATGGAACAGAACCGTGGTTGATTTGGATTGGTCATTTGTTGTCAACTTTCTATTTAGGTGTTCATTTTGCCTGCAAGTCCGAAATGCCCACGAATAGGGGGCGAATGCCATGAGGAGAAGTACGCGTCTTCTAATTTCGACAACTACCACCAGGCGTTCGAAGAAAGCGGGGTTCGACTGGAATTGTCGGTGAAGAATCTAGAGGGCAGCTTCAACCCCATGGTGGTGGTTGTGCCCCAGACCGATTCCCCGGGAACGCCTCGTTTAAGGTCGAGCAGAAGGAGCAGCCCGAAACAAGGCAGTCCGGTGAAGACTATTCCTGAAGTGGGGGAGGAAAACGAGGAAAGCGATTCAGTCTTTGCCCCGAATTCCGGTCCAATAACGGTGACTTCTCCTGACGTCGAACCACGAAACACTACGACCACGCCGTTAGGTGAGACAATATCAAATAGAATATGTTCGTGTGCAAAAATTCCAAGATTTTCAAAAGGTTTAATAAGACAAAAACGGTGAATAAATTGTTAAAACATTAAGCAGCAGGTTTCAATGTTATAGTTGATAAGTTTTTTAGCACGCTTATGGAAAATAATGCAAGTTTCAATGGTTCTGAGTAAATTTGAAGCCAGTTTTACGTTGATCTTGCATGCTGCTCCATTGCATGCGCCTGCAAAAATCACCGAGTCTTGAATTTCAACGTTTGTGACCACCTAGGAGATTCGCATTGCGAGTGTCTGCATAGACATCAACACCGGACGAGTTAGAAGCAAAAAAGCAGTCAATGCGTCCACTTTTGTAAGTTCACGGGCTGTTATTTTGACGAGTGAACTGTCGATTGCCAAGTGGGTGTCTGTTGGTAGTCGAATCTGTCGAAATGGACACATCAGACCGGCATCAGTTTACGTGATTTGCTTGTCCGAAATATGAACTAGAGTGTATGTGAATCGGAGGGAGAATGAGGTGGCGAGTGGCAGAACGGCAGAAACAAAGTATTGACGACTGACAGTGAGAGAACGCGTAGCCATTTCAACAAGTTCCGGCCTTTAAAAATTGCCAAGGTAAAAACAAATTGTTCCAACATTTGCCAGAAACACAACAGCCAAAATATTATGCAGTGCATTGAATCAGCAGATGTGTCCGAAGATTTTCCAAGATTTGGACGACTAACGTCTGTTTGATAACTTCGATTACAATCGGGTCGCACTGAGCTCACTAGAGACAATATCGCCACAGTGACTGCACTTGTTGAATGTAGACAAAGTGGACGTCGTGGTTGCAAAGCCTATCCTCCTCGCTCGCCTAAATTTGCAACTCCGAACGTTTAAAATTGGAAAACTATATTTAATAAGCTTGTACTTTAATTGTTTTCAATATTAAATAAGTTTCATGCAGACGTGATTATTAATGACTAACCTGAATACCAAAATACCTATTGTTTGCTATGCCGTTATTTTGACGGCCCAGTTACAATTGACTCACCATGGTTGAAGCATAGACCGAAACCCGTGCAGCAATGTCCAGCTGATTTTTTTGAGTTGGTTTAATTTTGTCATCCATGCTGGTGGCGTCATGAAGGTAATCTGACCATGAGATGTCGACTGGCGCATTTAATTGAACGATATATTGTTACGCTATTGGTAAATCCGATCTTAAACTGATGCAGCACGAATATTTGGCGAAGTCACGCCGCGCACGAAGGATCACCAGTGCTTTAGTAATGTCGTGGCGGACGGATTCATCAAGAGTTGTCTCGATTTTGTAGTTGTAAGTCACATGTACCACTTTGGTAAGTGGGGCAAGGATGCGGCCATTTTGGATCCACGGCTGCCAACAGGTCTCAAGTTGCCTGCTGAGGTGTGTGGACCCGAGGACTCCATCTTCAGCGTGGCCCCGGCAGAGTGGCATCAGTCGGACATCACCTACGGCGGAGGAACTGCCGGCTCGTCGGGAACGAAGGCGAAGGCTCGGATCGTCGCCTGTCTACAACGCTTCACCCAGCGCAGCGCTCAAACCGGCAAACAGCTCTATCGTGGCACCTATGTGCAGCACACCAAAATCGCCAGATGGGTAAGCTCAAGTAGACACTGATGAGGGTAAATTGAGCCTCTGTTGAACACCACAAATCAAATTAATTGGCTACAAATCCCATTTGTCTCAAAACCACACTTAACCCAACACACCACGATGCACACACGCGCTGAAACAAAACACACGCTTAAGTCTGTCTTACGATGGAGTTTGGCTGCGCGATTCCACAGACACCACAAGCCTAAGGCGCTTCCCCCAATGTACATTCAAAGTAAACGATTGAAAAGCAGGGACTTGTGATGCGCAAACTAATATAACCAATGTCACCTTTTTAGCGAACATCCAGCAGGCCTGATGAACCTCCCCAGTCTGCTGAATCGACACCGCCTTCCTCAGCTGACCAGTCGCCGATGGCGAGGAAGCCACCGTTGCGTCCGCCAGGAAATTTCCCCGAAAGGTGCGTTGTACGTGCCCACATGGTTTTACACATTGCCATTATGTGCGTAATGTTTGCGACTGTGTGAATGATTTTGAACAATTAACTTCCATTTCAGCATTTTGAGTGTAGGTGCATCACTCAAAGTGCCTGACCAGTGGCATGGGAGTGTCTGATGGTGTTTCACCGCACTAATATTCAACAAACCACCAGTGTTTCGACATATTTACTGGGATGCTTTAGGTTGCAATAGAATCTTCTTGCCTCCGGTCACCCTACCCCTTACTGTGAATGATAGAAATTTATCAAACTCAGTTTAGCCTCAGAAATTGCCTGGTTTTGAAGATGGAAGTAATGCATTCTTCCTTCTGAATGGCATTCCAGACGTTCGCTATGTATCAGTTGCCTGCGTAGAACCGCTATCTTGATGTATCAAAGTAAATCACTCGCGATTTCAAAAGTCGCTTTTTTGAAATCTTGGAACAGTCCCGTATTATCAAATTTCTCGTTGTAAAACTAAAATAACATGGTTTTTTAACCAGAAATTAATGAAATTTGGCTTCCGGTTGCAACTAACTTCTTCTGAATGCGCCTTCAAGCTACACCCACCCATCTCCTCATCAAAATGAGCTGTAAGAGTGTGTTAATGAATTCAAGAATTTGGCTTTTAAATTCGCGGAACCATCTCTGTAAGTCGGACATTAGGCTTTTTTCGGACACTTTTAGAACCAAACGCATAAATCAGAAGTGCAATAAAAGATTTGCCTTTTTAAACACAGGCACATCGCCGGCAAAAGTACACATGGAAATGAAATAAAAATGGCGAATTTTCACCCAAGTCGTGCAGTGAAATATCGGCCATTAACAATTCTCAAAACAGCAGCATTTAAAAGGGACCGTCTTACCTAAAATGACCTGACATGCAGGTGTTGGGTCAGCTCAAATGTTTCTGAGGCCACATGTCCTCACGCTAGTGGAAAGTGCGTGTGAGGACACAGGAACACACGGTTTTATCACTAAATGTCCCAAAATGCAGTATTTTTTGCATATAAAACCGACGGACAGGAAAATTTGTCGACTTTGGCCCAAGCCGAAACTCAATAATACAAGGAATCATAGGTCGGATAAGCCAGTTTGTCATTTACAGCCATCTTTTGGCTTCGTCTTGATTGTAAAACCAGACGTTTGAGCAACCCGAAGGAGTTCGTTGATCGATTTATTCAAGTTTTCGAAGCCAGCTGTGTCGTGGTATGATTACCATTGGTGATGTAGGACGCAAATTGTTTGAAAGCACAGTTTACTG